TTCAGACAGGTCAGCAAATCCCCTGTTAGTAAAAAAGACTTGCTCCAGCTGCTAGTGCAGCTCGTTAAGCATGGACAATCCAGCTGCCAAGGAAATAAACAGGGCTGACAGTTCTTTAGAAGCAGTGCAAGCCACAGGCTGGACATGGCAGCTGCAACACCAAGAAGGCAGCGCTGCCCTCGAGCTCTGCAACACCGTGGCCACGCACCTGCTGTGCCCACACCTCCCAGACCTAATACAACACCCTCAAAACAATACAAGCACTGAGAGGACCATCCACAGAGGCTGTCTCCAAGCTGGAACCACGGGCACTTGGGTCCCAAGGGAAGTGGCAGGAAGGCATTTACAAGCAAGGAAGAAACCCATCACGGGCTCAGTGGGGACAGTAGCCCTGTGGTCCCGCTGCCCTGTGCCACACCTGCCCATCACACCCACTGCAGGCACTGCCCTGTGGGGACAGCAGACATTCCCTGAGACATTACTGCCACATGTGGGAGGACAAACAAGCCTGCAACAGGCCAGAAAGCACACTGGAAATCCTTCTCAGTCAGGACAACAACCAGACGTCCACAACCAGAACTCACATTACCTTCCCAAAGTTGTCAGTGTGCTTCCGATAGTCTAGGTCCTCATCCTGAAGGGAGATAAAGAGTCAAAATGTTTAAGCACTTGCACAGCTCATCCAACCAAGATATGCTTGTGTGTGGGTAGTGCTGGGAAGGCCAAGGCTCAAAACACACACCAGGGATCTAGGGCACTGAAAGCTGACAAACTGGTTAATACCTAAACCAGAGTCCTCTCCTAGCATGAGTCAGAGGAAATGTGTCCTTATCTGATCCCAGCTTGGCACCACCAGCAAAGGTGGTTCTTTCCAAATGTGCAGCCCCAAGAGTGCTGCACAGCTGCATCCTCCCTCAGCCCAGCAAGCCCCTGACAGGACAGCATCCTTTCTCTTGCCAGACTCTCACAAGAGGCAGGCTCAGGTATCTGCAGCAGCCAGCAGCACCAGGTACATCTCGGTGTGAACTCATGTGTTACAGCTCAGCACACCAAAACATCTCCCTCTGTCCCTGAATTCGCCCGTGGCTCACCTGTTTCTGCAGTTATCCAGCTGATTCTATTCACAGATTCCTTCATTACTCAGTAAATGCAACTCATTACCTGACATAAAACCACTGACTTTACTTTTCCCTGGTTAGGTTAGCTCCCAACCAGAGAGTGAGCTGAGGAGACTCAAGAAAGGTCTGATCAGACTAGAGGCAACAGAAGGCAGAAGCATGAAGCTCAGTGGGAAGGGAGAGGAGTTTCCAACTCTGGCAGCACCTGGCTGACAGATCAATGTGCCTGCACTGTGTCATTTCACTCTGGGAGAAGTCATGGGCTTGTCTGCAGTTCCCCTAACATTTCCGAGGCCCACCCTGATCACGAGGCATCAGAGTTCCCATCACGCTGTGATCTCAGACATGTCGAAGCAAACATAAGCAGGTTGTTTTGCTGCCACTGCCCGTTCTCCATGCATCTGGGAGCCAGGAGCTCTACTCCATTTGGGGCAGCAGAAGGGAAGAGCTGGCACATGCCCTGTACTCCACCGCCCAGCCAAAGCCCTCTGACTCACTATGTTGCTGTGGTGAGCCTTAGTCATGAGCAGCATGCGGCCAACAAGGTCAGTGGTGGACACGCCTTGAGTGCGTTTGCATTCCCTGCGGGAGACAAGCAAAGGATGAAGCAGAAGCCACAGGAGCATACTGAAGCCTCTGTCTTCCCACCAAAGTACCACAGGAATGCTTGCGGCACCTGATAAATCCAAACCACGGGCTGTCCTAAGGAAGCCTTCCTTCTCAAGTATAGCATTTATTTGGGGAGCCTCTGCACCATCCTCACACCACAGCAACTGCTCCTGTGAACGATTCCCTCACTCAGCCTTCCCAACAGAGCCAGCTCGCAGTGAGGCTTTAAAACCAGAACCAGCATCTGCCAGGAACCAGACAGCTCCACTGGAGAGGACTGTCTGCCCCACCTCACTGAAGCCAAAATGCCGTGAGCAATTGAAGCTCTGACACACACAGAGAACCAAATTCAGGTGTGACCTGAAGACTGGTGTCATCTGACTTCCCTTCAAGGCACAAATTCCCAGAAACTCTGCCCAAAACAAGATAAACAGGTAAGCAGAAAGAGGTTACCTGTATCTCCCTGCTGTCTTTACTTCCTCATAGGTGTCCTTGCCATCGATAGTTAAGGTGATATCATCTGCAGAGAGAGAAAAGCCTCAGAACTGTAGCCAAGTTCTCCTGCACAAAGGCAGCAGCTGGCCCCTAGAGCCAGACTGGAACTCTGCAATCCAAATCCCTGCACATACACAGGGGACATGTCTTGTGCCCCACAAAAATGTCAGAGTTTTTTAAGACTACTGTGTCTGTGGAGACAAGGATACTCCTGGCTGCTAAACACCATTACCCACCTGGGTGCCCTGCAGCAGCAGCAGGCACAGCTGGTTACTGTCTGAATGACAATAAACTAGCGCTACCTGGATCAATGTTAAAAAATGACCTTTTAAGGCTTCTGGGGCTGGTTTTAACCCTTGGTTCATGTTACAAGTTTTCAGTAAATGAAACAGTTCATCCAATGGGAAGTTCTTCCTCTCAACGGTTGCACTTCCAGTGACACCCAGCAACCCTCCTACAGAGGCCATTCTGGTTCATCTCTGCCAGGTGGCTCCCAACTCCCCCTGAAGAAACATCTCTCACACACTTTTGGTGATGGTACAAAGCTTTCACAAGCAAAAGCTAAGCTGGTTTCCCTTTGCCAAAGCAGTCAGAGGGCAGCCCACGAGTGCCCACAGTGAGGTCTCCCAGAGCCCCCCGCCCTCCACTCAGAGCACAGGAACGGGGGGCACACACTTGGTATGCCAGAGAGGCACAAACAGCAGGGAAGGTGCTGTCACCCTCTCAGGTAAGCTCAGCTATTTCCAAACTCGGCTTTTACACAAACACAACCTGGCAAAACTGCTGGGGCAGGTGTGTTGCTCAGGAGACACACAGAATGACGTGGCAGAGGGGACAAAGGCAAGCAGCTGGAGCAGAGGCCACAAACACTCCTCCACTGCCATAACCCCTCACCAAGCCCTGTAAGAGCTCACGTACACCAAACATGTTCAGGACAGGCAATGAAGTTAACAAGGAATTTGATAACCACTTCATCCACGTGAAAAAAAGCATATTTATCTTTTAAAGATTAAGGATTTATTTACACTTAGTGAAATACTCAGCTTATCGACAGCAGGTGGCTGGGATCAGATGAGAGATACACTAAATGAGTGCAAAGACTACTCCTGGTCAAACTAACAAAATTCCTTCAGAAGGGCAGGGAGGAAGGGCTGAGGCTTAATAAGCATTGGCAGCAACCCAGGAAAGGAGAGTCCCAGAGCAAGAACATTTCCTCAGAACACTGGTTCTCTTCAGCAACTGTATACCAAAAAGTGTTCACACTAAGAACTAGGTCTCTGACCACACAGTCAGCTGAGCCACTGAACAGCTTATCAGCTGGATAAAGAGAGCAGCTTTTCAGATCTAACCTTGTCCCAGGATAAGCAGATACAAACATGATTGTATTTCTGCATGCTTTCCTTTTTCATAGTGTTTTTCATACTTAAGTTTTCTAAATGGCTTTGCACAATTTTTTGCTGGTGCTAAGGGTAACTTCAGGATAATTTTAAACTACACATTCCACCTTTGTAAGTTAAAACCAAGGGCCCTGGCCACTCTCAAGATTGTGAGCACACTGACATGTCTCCAGACCACGAGACCAGAAGCAGCTGTGCTGCCCAGTGCAGGTGCTGAGCAGGCAGAGCTCTCCACACACCAGGTATCGCTGACCTCTGCACCAGCTGGGACACAGCTCAGTTTGCAGCAGGGCACTTGGAGCACATGGCTCCAAGGGTCCATGCTAGCACAGCCTCTGCCTCAAACACCACTCACCCCCATGCACGCAGAAGTCACAGCTGTACTTGTCCAGGGTTTCCAGTGTGGTGACATAAGGAGCTCCAGGAGCAATCTCATCCACCCACTTGATGGCCTGCACCATTTTGTACCTCTCCTCCTGTGTAAAGACGGGGGGACCCTTGTGCTTGGCAATCTCCTCTGGGGGAGAAACAAAATTCCAGTTAGAAGCATGTCCTGCAGCTAGTGATTCTTGGTGACTGCCTCACTCACTTGGTGAGCTTCACCAGAGCTTTGGATCAGTCTGTAGTAGCAAAGGAAGCCCCAGATAGATCAGAAAATATTTTGATTCAGTTGAATTTCCTCAGCATTTAACAAGGGTCCTAGAATTCACTCAGAGGGCAAAAGGTCTCAGTACTTCCCTTACCCAGATACTTCTTCCTGAGTGGATGAGCTGGGCCTTCTGGCATCCCTCTAGGAGAAATTTCCCTCCTAAACAGCAACTTCCTACTACACCTGGTTCATACCTGGAAATTCTGCACCCATAAACCCATTTAAAATAAACCTTCACATGCTGGAACTTGATTCTGGCACTTAACTTCCAGATGGCCCTGTAATGAGTTTTCTCCACAAGGCAACTTGTTTTGAAACCTAAGTTCTGCAGATCCTACCAGTAAAAGCAAACTGATTTTCAGCTGTTTCAACTGGTTTTATAGCACACAAGGCAGATTAACCCACAGAGCCTGCAAGATCTGGCCCACCTAATCCTCAGTCCAAAAGTGTGACAGGGGTAACTCCATTCCCAGAGAAGGTACATTTTTCTCTTAGAGGCTACTGATCCTGCAGCAGATGCAGGATGAAGCCTGACCCTATCAGGAACTCTTGGCTCTCCTGGGGCTAATGCCGCTGGGCAATTTGACTGGCTGCACGAGCTGAAACCTGGTAAAACCTCTTACCGTCCGTGTGGACCCCAACGATCAGGTAATCGCCCATGGCCCGAGCCTGGCGCAGCTGGTTCGAGTGGCCATAGTGCACCATGTCATAGCTGCAAAGACAAGGGCCGGGTCAGCCCGGGCACACCGGGACGCGCTTCCTCGGGAGCTGCGGGCAACCCGCCCCAGGCTTCGGGGCTGAAGGTCTCTCTGCTGCCGGGCAGAGCCGTGCCGGTACACCCAGGGCCCGCGGCGGCGCTCCCTCCCCGCAGCTGCCCGGCAGCCCGAGGGGAACGGGCCGGCCCCACCGACCTCCGTCAGGCGGCCGAGCCCAAGGGAGCTCGGGAGCGGTGCCGTTGTCTCCCGCTCGCCCGGC